CAGCAGGAAGGAGTTGAAAGTTTCTTAAAACACGAAGCACATTTTCAGAATACGGAAAACCAAGTCATTGCCTCGGCAAGGTTGCTTTCTAGTTGTTATCGAAGAAACAAAAAGTTATCCGGTCAAAGAACTTTTTCTTCCAATCTGAAGTATAACAACGCAGGCCCCACAATCTCTTTTCTGCACACATGAAATTCATCTAAATAACAATCGATAACATCAGGTAATCGTGTTTCTTAGCCACAAGATAGCAAGATGAATGCTGAATATAAATTCCGGGTTACCTGCACTAGCTGCCATCTTTGGAGATTATCCTTAGGAGATCTTATTTAACCAGGTAACTCTCACTAAGAACAAAATAAAATACATTTTCAAAATTATTTCATGAGAAATCCTTCTAAACTCAGAACAAATGTACTGCAAGAGACTCTTCATTAACACAGGAGGTGTGAATGTAACAGTTTAGGTACTGGTTCATATACTCTGCCTACATACATATGCCCAACTAGACGACAACACACATACCAACCCTCAGCGAACTCCTCAGGCTGTAGCTCATCAGCCTTCTACATGAAACCAAGTGAATTTTGACCAACTCATCATTTTCTACAAGAGGCATAGTCTAATACAGACCAGTCACTCACCTACCTTCAGCCTAGCTTTTTGTTTGTTTCATCAAAGAGTACTTTTCTGTAAAGTCTGGACAAATTATACCGTACCCCTTAGAAAAGCTGCCACCGTAACACCCAGAGCATCTTCTAGGATGAAGCAGAAAGGTAGCTTGATTCAGAAGGGAGAAAGGTTTTGACTAGATCATGATGAACTCAGAATTCTATTTATTAGCTATATTTTTGAACAACATTCCTTGTTGTATTATATGCTAAAAACACAAACTCAAGAAACTTGATATTCTCCCATTCTTGCTGAATTCTGAACTGTTTGTTAAATACAGAGGAGCCAAGGCTGAGGGAAGGTGAAAGGGAACAAATTCAGCCGACCCTCACTACACGCTGATCCTGACATAAAAAATCTTTTACTGCATTCCTACAAATAAGGAGGGGAAACGAATATAAAAAGGATGCGTGGATAAAACACTGGCTTTGTCAGAAGAGGTTATAATTAACAATAAGTTAAAAGCCCACACTTCAGAAAGAAGTTGATTATTGTATAAGCCAACTGAGCAGTATCCAGGTCACCCACATAATTTGAGTTACACACTTCTGTCTTGATACCACATGCCACTTGTCACTTGTATTTGGAAATATTAGTCTCCCCAAAACATAGAGCACGTAGGGACATCCAGAAAAGTCAGTAGGAGTGGAACAAGCACACCCTAAGTGCAATATGCTCCCTTCCCCAGTAAACACAATCCTCACAAATATCACTTGGCTGATAGCTCAGGAAACATAAGCCATTTCCTTACCCAAAGCGTGGGAAGAGAATGAAAATTACCTATGTCATGCTACTAAAACTTCACAGCTCCCAGTTACCCTTCGACTCCTCAAAAATGCAGCTCCTAAGAAACTGAAAGATGAACTCGCTTCTTATAAACCACAGTGGGCAAAAGGCAAATGGAAGCATCCTACAGTTTTATCCCACTGTAAAACCAGCTGAATTCATAGGATCATAGAAAGTTTTGGGTTAGAAGGGACATTAAAGACCATCCAGTTCCAACCCCCCTGCCATGGGCAGGGACACCTTCCACTAGACCAGGTTGCTCCAAGCCTCATCCAGCCTGGCCTTGGACACTTCCAGGGATGGGGCATCCACAGCTTCTCTGGGCAACCTGTCCCAGTGGTTCCCCACCCTCTCCGGGAAGAATTTCTTCCTGATATCCAATCTAAACCTCCCCACTTTCATTTTAAACCCGTTCCCCCTTGTCCTGTCACTACAGGCCCTTGTAAAAAGTCCCCCCCAGCTTCCTCGTAGCCCCTTCAGGCACTGGAAGGTGCTATAAGGTCTCCCCGGAGCCTTCTCTTCTCCAGGCTGAACAAGCCCAACTCTCCCAGCCTGTCCCCATAGCAGAGGGGCTCCAGGCCTCGGAGCATCTCCGTGGCCTCCTCTAGACCCGCTCCAACAGGTCATCTCATTGCAGCTTTTTCTAAACAGCGCACTAGTGGGGGGAAGGAGGCCCCTAAGCAGCCGGCCATACCTCCAACAGGCAGGCCAGTGCCCAGCGTCACTTTCCACCCTGCACAGATCTAAATCAGCGTCCCAGCACCGGAAGCTTCTTACCCCACCTTCATACCCAGCCTCCGGGTTCGAGCTCTTCCGTCCCAGCTCTAAGAAGCGAGCGATGTTAGTTACACGGTGTTAACTGAGCGTGATCACAGAGCCCTTAAGCGTCACCTGCTCGGCGAGCCGGGGG